TCTGCCACGCAGAAGGAAGGGCACAAGGTCATCCCGTGTGAGGAATGATTCAAGTGGCCCCAAGTGTGGAGTGAGGCAAGCCTCGCTGAGAATTATATTTCGATTTCTTTACCTTTTTTTTGTGGAGTGTCTTCTTCTAAGACCTTTACATGTCATACAAAAGTGGATAAAGGATTATACATCACGGGCACAAAAGGCCCGCACGGAACGGCGGTTCATCAACATTATGAACTCGACGGAGAGTCTTGATACTTGGCTTACCACTGCGTCATACCTTGACAACCATCGCGGGATGCAGGAGTGGAAAAACATGATACCGAACAAGGCAGAGTGTGACGCGGAGGGCTTGAAGCATGATGCCTACTGTGCCAAGACTCTTGCCATGACTGAAAATGAACGGGCTATAGGTGAATTTCTGCGTTCGCAGCTGCATCGTACGGCTCACGGTATGACAAGCCCTTCCAATTTTCGCTATTACACGGGCACAATAAGTTCTGTGGAGGAATACAATGAGGCGATCGTGAGTCTTATAGAGGCGTTTGGTAGGTCGCGCATATGTCAAGAAGTCACCTCGACGTTACCGCCATGCAATAAAGGAAAAGGGGAATTCTTATTGGAAGAAGGTGCCTCATTGAACTCAAAATTTCCAACGGATATAGTTCCTAACAAATTTTCAAAATCTGAGCATGTTGTTGATTCTGTTAACAACGAGCAGTCGAGTACAGGGAAGCGTGTAGTTGCTTCTGCATTTGATTATTTAGAGTACAAAGTAAGTTCAGTGTATCTTTCCTCTCTTCTTAATTGGGCCGCAAGGCCACAACTGCCCGCTGAAAAATTTCTGACAGATGTCCAGAAGCTCAAGGTGCTGCAAGACACGTTAAGATCTTATGGACGCAGCGCTCTTATGTTAAGCGGTGGCTCGACGTTGGGTGTTTCCCACATGGGTGTCGTGCGAGCCCTTTTTGAAGCCGGACTGCTGCCCGATATTATTTCTGGCTCCTCTGCTGGTTCCATCATTGCCTCTATTGTATGTTCTATGAAAGATGATCAACTCCGTGAATTACTCTCGGACTCTATAATGAGCGTTCAAAAATTGCAACTTTCTCCCTTTGACCATGGGGAATTTTTTGCCAAAATAAACCAACTTTTGCGCACGGGGGCCTTCATGAACGTGCAGAAACTCATGGAGTGCCTCCGCAACAATGTGGGGGATCTTACCTTTGAAGAAGCATACCGTCATAGTGGCCGTATATTAAATGTCTCTGTGACAAGTGAACAGTACAGTGGTTCTCACTTAGATCGGCATATGCTTCTGAACTATGTTACATCACCGAATGTCGTGCTCTGGAGTGCGGTGAGTGCTAGCTGCGCCCTACCCGGACTATTCACGGCGGTACAACTTATTGAGAAGTTACCTGATGGCAGTTTCCGACGCTTTCTTCCAGGACAACTTTGGTGTGATGGAAGTCTCGCTCAGGATCTCCCGCGAGAGAGTCTCGCTTCTTTGTTTAATGTAAACTATTTTATTGTGAGCCAGGTGAACCCGCACATTATACCATTCCAGCGAAAACCTGTCTCTCCACTTGTGTACAAGGAGCGTCGGCCAAGAAAGATTCTCAGCTCTCTGTGGTACGGGTGTTTCCGAGAGATTCGCCGTTGGATTTTGAAGCTGTTTGGTATCGGCGTTCTCTCCACAACTGGTCGATGGGAGTTGCCCTATCTCTTCTTGACGCAGCGGTACGACGGCGACATTCTTATTCTGCCGATAGGGAATGTTCTGCATGCCGCACCTGACTATTTCAATATTGTGGCAAATCCAAGCTCTGAGTACATTGCATTTGTCACCAGCAGGGCACAGCTGAGGACATGGCCACACCTCAATCGGATCCGCCACTCTACAATGATTGAACGAGCCCTTTTTAGAGAAATTGGGTTGTTGAAAAAGCGCGTTAAGGATGAAGCTGTAGTATTGGAATAAAATAACGTGCTGTCATTTCTTTGTTTGTTTCTCTTGTTTTTTTTTTTTTCTTTTTTGGGCGGGCCTTTGTTGCTGGAACCGTATCTGACATTGGCCTCAATGAGTGCAACCGTCTATGCCAAGATTTCCCTCCAATGTGTCTTTTTTTTGTTATGTGTATGTGTTTGTTTGTATGTGCGATATGTGGCTTTTGTGTTTATTGGCGGGGTTGTTGTTGTTGTTGTTGTTGTTGTTGTTGTTGTTGTTTTCCTTTATTTTCTTTCCTCTCATGTCTCCATTGACCAACATGACCGAAAATTACATGTTGAACCAGACATACGTACAAATATTGGACACACGATCTAAGTGAGAGAAGAATGGTTGACGACTCTGGCCAATTTGAGGTGGTGTTTCTTCCTGGAGAAGGGGCGATACTTTCACCCCGCTCCGTCATGGTGACAGTGCGCTGCTCACATAACCGAGTAGAGGAGCCCTCAGTGGATCGCGATGCCATAGATAACACATGGGAGTTCCTCGTCAGAGGCAGTTGCGGTGGTCAAGAGATGAGGAAGGGAGAAATGTATAACGGCCTCAAGTTTCGGTTGTATGATGTGGAGCAGGAGGGAGACAAATGCCACATAAAACTCGGCATAACGGACTACAAAACGAATATTGGAACCACGAGGAATATCGGTGTCTACACCGAACTTGCGAATTTGCGGAATACAACGGTGGAGAATTACCTTGCCAATGCACTTGGCGTGGAGTGCTTCACCATCACTTCTGATGGCAAAGGAGTTTTATTTCGCCGATCGGAGGTTGTTGGCGAGTATCCGAATTATTTTTGTTTCCCAGGCGGTCATCCTGAGCCGGGGGAACTCCTTAATGTACAGCAATTGCAATCCGCTTGTAATAACTCTCTGAATGAAGGATCACTTGTCGAAAATGTAACGAAATGGTTTGAGTGTGTGAACCCCCACGTTCTCACAAGGCTTCTTTTTGAGGCGGCAGTGAGTGAAGTGTCGGATGAACTTGGTGTGGATCCCGCGGTGTGCGTCAACCAGGGTCTTATCGGTTTCATGAAGAACACGCACAGCAGGAAGGCAGACGCCTGCTTTTGGATTGAGTTGAAGCAGTCCGCCTCGGAAATAAAGGCTTGTTTTGATCTCCGTCGTGGCTCAGACGCGTTTGAATCTGTTCCAGGCTCCATGCTATTTGTCGATTTAGATCGCATTCGGGACAGGGAGGCTGCATTACGATTTGTATCGGAGGAATTGGAGGGTAAATTGGCACCACCGTCTCTTGCGTGTCTGTTGTGGGCGGTAGATCGCCTCCGAAATCGTTCTTCTTTCGGAGTAGAGAAGTGAAACAAAAAAAAAAAACTGGGGAGAAAACGAAGAAAAACTTTTATTGTGTTTTGCGAATATTGGCAATTATTATTATTATTTTGTTGTTGTTTTGTTGAGGGGCTTCTGCCACGGACAATTGGGATGTGTGCAAGAGAAAAAGAGAGGGATGCGCGGTGATCTTTGACCTTTCCCCTTTTGACTGTCACGGCAATATCATTTTGCCAACGGCTGCAGGAATTTTTTTTTTTTTTTTTTTTTTACTTGGCATTTGGGGAAAACTCGAACTTTCTTTCTTTCCATGGGCCGGAAGCTTTATTTTATTTTATTGTTGCAGGCAAGTCAACGGGATGGGGATTTTTTTTTGCCTGTGACGATGGGGCGTTAACGGGATTCTGCTGCGGACAAAGCGGGTGGAGACTGATGGCTTCACTGACGAAGTCCCTTTTTTTCCAGCAATGAAGTTTTTTTTTTATTGATTTCGCATGAGAGTACTCATTTGTTGTGATAAACACAAACCGATACGCACCCCCCTCACAAGTGGTTTTTACTTCTCCATCTCATATAAATGTCTATATATATATGTATGTGTATAGTCTCTCTCTCTCTCCCTTTGTGTGTGTTTGTGTTGTTTTCACAGTTTGAGAGAAAGCAGCAGAGTCGGAGGGGCGCGGCACCACCATTTTTGTGAAGAAATACTCTGGAGATAAGCAGGGCGTTTTGGATACTAGGGACCTTATCCCGTCTGCACACATAATGGAAAACTATACCGTGATTGGAAAGATTGGTGGTGGTGCCGAGGGCATTGTGTTCCGCGTAAGGCATGAGCCAACGAAGAAGGAATTTGCCATGAAAGTGATTCGTTGCCCCGATCACTCTAGAGTGAATTCAGCTCTGAAGGAAATCAAAGTTTTGTTGCATCTTCGTCATCGACACGTTGTTTCATATGTAGATTTCTTCCTTTTGTTTCACAACGACACGATACGACATGAATTTGTTGCGGATTATAAAAATGAGGCGCAACTCTCCGAGTCCACACGAAGCCTTGGATTCTGCAGCACCGGTTGTCTGGGAAGCAACGGCAGCCCAGTTGTTAGAAATGAAGTTCTCTCAGACGTGTTTTGTTTCCATCCGTCTGAAGTTTGCGTCTGTCTTGTGATGGCGTTGTGTACATCTGGCGACATGCAGGACACCATAGAGGATGCGAGGCGACGTCTTATGGAAGTAGGCTCCCATCCTATCCCAGAGGCACAAATTCTCTCATGGATGGAGCAATGCGCCTCCGCTCTTGCCTTTATTCATGAGCAGGGCTTCCTGCACCGTGACTTAAAACCCACAAATGTTTTCTTTGATGATGACAAGGAAATCAAAATTGGGGATTTTGGTCTTGCAGCGACCGTTGGTCTTGGTCGTCAAAGCATCGTGGGAACGCCCTTTTATCTCGCCCCGGAGCGGATGCTGCATCAAGTGTACGACGAAAAAGTAGATGTGTGGGGTTTAGGAGTTGTGATGTTGGAACTGGTGACCCTACAGGATCAACCGATCAATAGCCGTGTCTTAGAAAACCCACTGGTAGTTGAGTCTGTTGTAGAGCAGGTAACTTCTATGGGATTTTCATCTAAACTTGGTGCTCTCTTGCGTGATATGCTACAACGATTTCCAGAAGGTCGACCCTCACCTGCAGCCATACTATGTCGTCTGGCTGGCATGACAGCAACAGCCTCACCACACTGTAGCATATCCATCCCAATTCCTTCTGCAGGCATGGGCTGTCCAAAGTTTTCAACGACGTCATGCGAATTTTACGAGGTGGAATCTGCCACACTAGCCTGTTCACATTGTGGCACTGCTCTCTTAGAAGGATGTGGCTGCGCACGAGATAAGCACCACAGTCGTCACGGCCATGAACGTTTCTCTTTGATTTTTTCACGCAATAATCAGACAACACGTGCACATGCCTTGAACGATGTTGAAGTAAATACTTTGCCGCCAGAAAAATGTAAAACAAATTGCAGCACAATTTATGCATTTTCAAGACCGAATTTGCCCGTGTTTAATTCCATCGGTGGCTCTATTTGCGGCACATCTACTGAAGATTCCAGCAACATCCTAATTCGAAGCATGAAGAGTACCATAATTCGTGTCCCACAGGATTATCCCACAATCGCAACTGCGCTGCACTCAGCACAGTCTATGCCACACGTACGAAAAATTGTAGTGGCGGGCAACACCATTCACAGCACCCCGTTGACCCTTGACGATAAGTTGCCAGATAATTTGAAACTCATCGGGGAGAACCCTTCTCCAGTCGTTGAAGTGAATGCTGCTACTTTTGCCGTTCATTGTACCTCGGGACGTGGGACGTTGGAAAATTTTATAATTCGCCATGCCGGAGGCCGAATCTCACCGACTGATTCTCACACTGACGAACAGGATCCGAAAAAAACTTTGCGGCCCATGGCCATCTCCATTGCGGGTGGAGAATGGAAAATCACGCGATGTCGAATTTCATGTTCCGCTGGGAGCGGTATCAGTGTGGCCGCTGGTGTGGAGGCCATTGTGTCGCACTGTATAATTCTCGAGGTCAAGTTGGCGGGAATAGTTGTGTTGGAAGGAGGTCAGGGTTTGTTTGAGAAGAATAAATTCACAAACTGTGGGTTTGCTGCTTTTTTGTTGAAGAAAAACAGCTCCGCGCGACTGCTTGGGAATCATGTGACGGACGGTGCAGAAACGGGCATCTTCTGCCAGGATGCCTCCGGTTTAGTGGAAGATAATTTTATTGCGAACAATGGTGGGTGTGGTGTGGTGGCGAAGGGTTCCGATGCCAAAATCATACTTCGCGGAAACAGAGTTGTGGCAAATGGACAAGCCGGCTTTTTCTGCTGTGATGGCGCCAGCCCCATCATCACAGATAATGAAATCCGACAGAATAAGCGGGCCGGGGTTCTTGTTAAAACCCGAGCCTCTCCAAGGATTGCAAAGAATGTCATTAGCTGCGGCAGGGAGGCGGGTATTTACGTCTTTGAAGGTGGAGCCGGTTTTATTGAGGAAAACGAGGTGCGGGACAACAGCAACGCGGGGGTTCTCGTCACAACGGGTGGCCGCCCACATGTTGTGAGGAACACAATTCGCGGTAGCCTTTACGAGGGGGTGTGGGTGTGCAAAAATGGTGGCGGGACGTTCTTTGAGAACGACCTGCGCTGCAACGAGAAGGGACCGAAGGATATTGAGAAGGGTTGCTCAGTCGTGTGGATTGGCAACCGCGAGTCCTGAAGCAAAACAACCATGGAGACAAGTTAAAGAAAAAATTCTTAGACAAAAATTAATTTAAAAAATGCATGACGTTAGAAAAGATAATTCCACGCGTTTACGCTGTTTCATGAGGGAACAGTAAAGAAGATGGCTATGGTGAATTGTAGAGATGTAAATAAACACGTAGCCGAGGCTGAATCGTTGGAATTTTGTTTGTTTGTTTGCTTTGTGCATTTATTTGTTTGCCCGCTATTGAGAAGGGGGGGGGGGGAATTTAGGGGGCATTGTCTCCATCTATCTATGTATATGATGTACACGTCCTTTTGTGCTTTGTTTTTGATGGACTTCTTGTGTCTGGGCCGTGTTTATATAGTAAATAGATTGTCACCATCCCTTCTAATAAAGTAGAGGGTGGGAGAAAATATCCCTTTATCCTCTTCTGTGGTTTTATTTTACAGAATAATAATTGCAGTCATTAGATGCTTTGCTTCGGCTGCGTTTTTATACATTGGGTTTTTTTTTTTTTTTTTTTTTTTTTGGTGGTGATGCAAGCGAATAAAAATGAAAAGAGGTTTTCATTGCCCTGTGTGTGTGGTGGAACGGGAATAAAATAAATCGTTCATCTACGTGGGTGAAATGCGACTGGAACAACGAACCACGCCACTCTGTGGATGTGCTCTGCGCGGGAGCATACATCAATTAACAGAAGGGAGGGAGATGTGTTTGAGTGGCCCCAAACGCCCTCCGTCGCTGTTGTTTCACCACTGGATTGGATCTGTGTATTGTATTGTGCACCGAGCGATTATTTTTCTGTTTGTTTTTTTTTTTTTGTTTTTGCGATGGTGGTTGTTTTTGGTTTGGTGTGGCGGGTGGGTGAGTGCCGTTATATTATTATTATTATTATTATTATTATTATTATTATAATTATTATTATACCACAGTAAGAATAGCGTGGTAGTATTTTATTGAGTTGAGCGCATCGCTGATGGCATTTGAATTCCATGTACCCATCAAGTTTGCATGTTATGAATTTAACGAAGTTGTTGTTTTTGTTGTTGTTTCCTTCCATCTTTCTCTGAGTGTGTCACGCTCATTTTGGAGCGCCCCGCTCCTTCCCGCTATTCCTCCCGAAGACTCTCACTGCCCCCTCCTTTCCTCCACACGCGAAGGGTTCATCAATGCAGCAGCGTCTCAGGACCTTAATCATATCTAGCCACGTGAGCGACTCCATCACGGTGGTGTCCGCGAGATGTTCGTATGGCTGCAGGCGTGTCGTGTTGCCGTGGGGAAGAAGCACCACGTTTCTTTCACTGTCCCAGGGGTGCGATCCAACGCAAGCGCGAGGCGTCAGATGGGCATCGTCAGAATCCGATTCTGCAACGGTGGCTGCGGCTTCTTCGTCTTCTTATTTGGGTTTTTTGCACGACGGTGCTGGTGATTTTATTGATTTGGGCTTTGAAGAGAATAAAAAGGGGCATGCATTCTCTGTGGTGACGTGGGAGCAGCAGCCTGCGCTCGGGGTCACGCGGGAGCCGGAGGTCCCCGATGGACAAGAGTACTCGCGGCTCAACATCCCTCTCGCTCACCCACGTGCTGGGCGAACGGAGCCTCGGCATAACAGTCGCAGCATCGCCACTACGAGTGATACCATTTGCGTCCATGAAAAAAGCGACAAAAACGAGGACGGTGACCATGACGCGGTCCATTTGAAGGGGGCTCATACCAAATTCAATGACGAGGGTGACGGCGGTGAGGGATCCCTCCCATACGACGATGAGCTTTTTGCGGAGATGCTGCTTAAAATGGAAGTGGAGGGCGCCATTGATGAAACATGGCAGGACGCACGCAAGGCCCATATAGAAGATGTCATAGAACTTTTGGAAGTTCTTCGCTCGCTTAAGGTACGCGACATTTGCGCTATAGATGTCTCGGCAAAGACAAGCAATTTTGACTACATGCTTCTTGGGACATGTGAAGGTCCACGACACATTCATTTAGCCGCGTGGGCAGTTCAGGAGGCGGACTCTTTGAAACGCATTTCCAAGATTAAACGTAAGCAGACTGATCATACTTGGGAAGTGGTGCCAGTTGGTAGAATCATCGTGAACCTCATGCAGGAACCTCTTCGTGAGGAAATGGCGCTCGAGCGTAAATGGGCAGTGACGAAGTGCATGGACCCCCTCACAGCAGCCAATGCACCAGTGAGTGAGGGAAGACAGGTCAAGGCCCATGGATTATGGACGTTGACGCTTAATCTGCAGGATTTAGAGGACTTTGAGGTGGATTACTGCAAGGATGTGTTGATGCGACAGTTGTAAGCAAATACTCACCACATCCCTCTTTTTCACTTCTTTAGTCTGCGGACGACTCATGCGGAGTTTTTGGCGTGGGTTTTGATGCGTGTGTGTGTGTGAGTGTACTTTTTATTGACGACGCTGATTGTGATGCGTCTTGCCGCGGTGAATGTTTCCTGTTGAAGGCATTTTCCTTGAAATCAATTGAGGGGAGTCGCGGAAGCCAAATATATATATATATATATGCAACTGAAACAACTCTGTAAATCCCATCTAGTTTTTTTCTTTTTTTTTCTTTTTTTGGATTTTGTGAAATTCTATCATTATATGCGTGTATCTCAGTTATGTTCCCATTTGTTTTTTTTCTTTTGGTTTGTACTCTTTGAGCCTTGGAGTGACGTCGAAGGAAGGGAGGGAAGGGCGGATCCGCTCCGTTGGTGGTGTTTCCTGCTATTTTGAAGCACACGGTCGTCGATGTCTGATCCCAGTCTTTTTTGTAGGGATCCTCCTCTCGGAACAGCGGCGCATCCGGCGAAACCGAGAGGACTGCCGCATAACACCCCCCCCATGAGTCGTATTTGTGCGGAAACGGCTCTTAAGCACTGGAATATTCAGCGAATGTTTGTAGCTGCGCGACGTGAGAAGGAAAAGGCAAAATCGATGCAAGCCCACCTGGATGCGCTCCTCACGGAGAAGAGTAGTAGAGAGAAGGAACTTCAGGCCGCCATTGCTTCCTTGCCAGCCCCTCACGAAATCGAAGCCCTAAAGACGCGATTGCATGCTGCCCGTGAACATAAACGGAGCTCAGCGAAAAAAATCAACGACTCGGATACATATTTCACAGATGTTTCTGCCAGGACACACGGGGAATATCGCGGTGAGGCGAGACAAAATCGAGAATACATGGAATTGAAGCGTTCCACCAAAGTTCTTAAGGATGAAGTTTCCCTTTTAAAGCTACAGCTACAGGAGTTGACCGGCAATGTAAACAAGAATGATGTATGTAAAGACGCCACGGATCCTCCTGGCGGCGGAAAAAATGTTGTTGAGTCTCCAAATGTTTTTAAGGAAATTCTGGAATTAAAAAGGGAAAAGGAAATGTGGAATGAGCGGATAAGAAATGCGACGGCTGCCTGGCACATGGCAACGAAGAGAGAAGCCAGACTCACCCGACTCTTGGAAACTTTAAAACGAAAAATGGCATGCACACCTCAACCATCAAGGAATCCAGCGAAGTCCATGAAAAAGAAGGTGAAGGAAAGCCCCGCATTGGAGGAGGTTGCTGCTGATTCTTTCACTCCTCTAAATTCAGTGAATTTTCTTGCCGTATCGGTGAGTCACCAGCCCGAAGAAAACTCCGCTTCAGAGCCCCCAACCCAAACCCGAGAAATGGAATTGTCCCTTCGGATCTCATTGAAAGGATCTCACGATCAGACACAACGAGTTTCCTTTTTGGGAATGGATGACGACAGGAATTGCAGCTAGTTGAACGAGGGTAAGCTGACGCCTCAAACGGGAAAGTTCGAAAAGGAGCATGCACGCATGAAACTAAGGATTGCTAATATGCAAAAGGAAAATTTTTCTATTTGACTGCATGGATATGGATGGAATATTTTGCTGTTGGGAGTGGGGGGGAAGATGTTGCTTTTTTCTTTGCATCCTTTTTTTTTTTTTTTTTTATTAATTATTTTTACACCTCCCATGGGTTGCAACTTTTCTTCGCGTGAATACTTACTACAGCCACTATGGTTTGGGGTTGTTTGGTTTATTTTTGCTACAAAGGATTATTATTTATTTTTTTTTTTTTTTTTTTTTTTTTTTTTTTTTTTTTTCTTTTTTTCTTTTGCGTGATTGATTGTGTTTTTGCACATCCTTTCCTTTTTTTTCTTCCCCCCGTCATTTCTCTCTTTCTCTCTCTCTATGTATATTATACACATACATGTGACTGTGTTTTAGTTCACTATTACTCCAACATTGGGGTTTATTTTCGCCGCAAGAAATTTGGATTTGAGTAAAGCACACACAAATTTTAAAAAGGGGAGAAAAACGGAGGGTATTGGGGCTTATTTGCCTTTCTATTGGTCTCCTTGTGTGTGTGTGTGTCATATTTGCACGTGCGTATGAGCGATCTTTGGTGGGCCTTTACAGATCGACTGGCGGTATCAGGATATAAACTGGAGGATTTAACGGATAATGACGGTTTGTTTCGGCTTGTCGCGGAGGAGTTTTGTGGGTTTACTCCCCAACAAGTGAGTGAGCTTCGGAAGCAGTGGCACAGTATGTGCAGAGAAGCAAAGAATGGGATGATGCAACCGGAATGTGTATCGCAAACGTCGGTGCGGACGTCTTCTCAAAACAATGACACGTCCACACATCAAGGTATCTTTTGTACGTATCCGACAAGTACGGTATTGTCGCGTGCCAATAGGTTTTTGTATAATTTGAGTGGACATGGGGTGCCGCTCGCATCTGCGATGGTGACGGAGCTTCCGCTTCCACGCAAGCTAACTCAGGCCTTCCGTGGTCGATTGGCATTTATGCATAAGCCCACGGGAGAAGTAGAACTCCTGTGGAAAATATGCAGTCCCATGACACTAGCCAGTATCAAAGAAGGTCAATCGCTGGAAAATATGACCGATTGGGATACACTTTGCCCCCGTGGTATTGTTCTTTACCGCGACGATGGAGCTGCAGCACAATTTTGTGAAAAAGCGCCTGTAGAACTGGCACGCCAAGGCTGGTGCCTTGTTGCCTTTGATGTAGCCGTGGGTAAATCCCGTTACCTTGAAGAAGAAGAAATTAGACTATTGCAGCACTTTTCCATGGAAGAGTGTTTTAACACACTTTACAGTGACGGTTATGACAGCATTTCGGTTGCTTCTTGTAATGCCTGCGTCATATTCCACCCAGATCAGATGATCCCGCGATTTGTTGTTAGCATCTATGCTCCAAACAAAATCCGTCAGCCAAATAACCCCACCATGACACCTGCAGTGGAGCCTCCGGCCATGACATCTTATCCAATGAAAAAAGGGGGGAAATTAGGTAAGGAACTGCAACCAACACCAACAACGGTAGGAATAAAGCCGAATGCTTCAAATACACCCCCAAAACCATCTTCCGTCATCTCATTGGATGCAATCAATTGCCAGAAACATTCGGGAAAGGAGGTGGAATTTTGGTGCCCAGAGGAGAAGAGGCTGTTATGCAGTCATTGCCTTTTTTATGATGGATACAGCAATAGTAATTGCCTACTGGTGGCTGAGGCAGTTCGAATGGAGGCGCCAGGACTCGAACGTTGGGTTCAAAATGCGGAAACCTTTACGAAAGAGATTGATTCCGTTAACAATCTTTTTCGCTCCGCAGAACGAGATATAGATACATGCGAAAAAGAACGGAAAGAAGAATTGTGTGAGCATTTTAAACGTGTACGTGCAAAGTTGAATGTGTTGGAGGAAGAACTTACCTCACAAATTGAAAAGAGGAGTGAAGAGCAGCGACGGTCCCTGCGGAATTCTTTGGCAGAAGTTCAGGCTACCGTGGAAAAGGTAAATCGTCTTATTGGTGAAGCTGCAAAACCACTTTTAAATTATCGTGCTGGAAATATAGACCACAGGAATGCAGTGGACCTTTTGAATGTGACACAGTCAGTGTTTGACAACTGGCGTGCAGTGAATATTCCCATGTACTCCGTCGTCATTGGTTGGGACAGAGACATTTTTAACGAATTAGAGGGCGCATTGCAGCCCACTTTGGCCACTGAGAGCGAGGGACAAGTAGAGTTGCCGGAAGCTATAGATGTCAATTACCTTAAAAATTAAAAAGTTTATGAAAAAACGACTACGACTAGTTCTTTAGGACGTTAAGCTCACGTCCAATTGTTATGCCTTGGAATTTAGTCTGCGGCCTCTGTATTACATTCTTGGCCGTTGCATTTTCCTTGTAGATGGGTGTTTTGTTTTGAGTAGGGGGAGCGTGTTACAGTGCACAAGAAAATGTAGGGCCGACACAACAAGTGGGAAAAATCCAATGTGATGAGAGAGGGTGGCCAAAGCAAAGGCTTACAAAAAAGACTGTTAATCTGTCAGAATTTATTTTGATAACTTCAAATAATAATAAAAAGGAAGAATTGGTCACTTGTTTCTCATTTTTTTCGTTTTATATCTAGAGCCAAAAAGGTCTTGGGGTTAGGGTGAAGCGGTTGGAAGCCACTTGTCTGTTCATGGAAGGGAACATTGAGATTTCATGAGGAAGGAAATAAATGTCCGGTCTTTTGGAACCTGGGTGGTGTTGTTGATTTGCGGTGTAGCTTCCGTCACGGCGGAGGATGTGGCTGAAAGCGGTCGGTCTCTTTTGTCTGCGTTATATGATGCGGAGCGAGTGCATGCCCTAACGTGCTGTGAATTGGTGGAGAGGCATTGGCCGCTACTCCGTAGCTGGGACAGGTGCTGTGCTTCTTCTGTGGATGCGACTGGGGATAATAACGTGCATGCCTCGTTTGAAAAGTTGCTCCACCATTTTTGGGATGCCCCATTGCCAGGATGCAATTCCGGTGGCATATCTTCATGCAATAGGAAGGAGCATTCTCTCAGCGATGAGTTTCTCAGAGTTTTCTTAGAGGAACGGCTCTGCGCAGATCTTCCAGCCACGCATACAGAGTTGGCACGAAGCGTGTACAGTGTCTTTGTGGTGGAGGATCCGCTGCACGAGGATGATTTGATCACACTTATGGAAGAGGCTTGTAAGAGTGTCCAGCACAAAGGCATCATTCTGTGGCGCAGATCTCTGCGTGCTCGCAATGTGTACGAGGCGCAAGAAGCCGTTTGCCAGCGCCATTGCTCTGCGAAGCGCTCTTTTTTTGACGGTGATGTTTATGACCTTTAGGCTCTCACGGTGCATTTATTTTGCTTTATCCTTTCGTGTGGATTTGGGTCACACCCAAATCCTTTATGTTTCATGGTGGCAAATTGTCTGTTCCAAATTATTGATTCTGACTGACTCCGCTTTGCCTTCTTATTTTTATAATGAGCAGAAAGAATGATCGCGGGAGAGCTGGCTAACTTAATTAATGTATGTTTATATCCTTATAAATGAAGGCATTCTTTATGATACTCTCTACCGTATGAATCTTTTGGGAAGAACGCGACTTTGTAGGGGGCAGGGAGCCGATAGGGGCCAGATAATATTTCTTTTTATTTTGCCATCCCACCCACCCACCCCCTTTTGATTCCCACCACGCGGCGGGGTCTTGTGGCTGGAGGACCCCAAAAGTCTGCCACTTCGTAAGTAATAATATTTAAATCCTAACTGAGGACAAAGGACCATGCTAGCGGTCCACAGAATTCTATATATATTGAATGAAAAGAAAACATTGAAGCAATTAACTAACGAACCTTTTTTCCTAACTTGTTTGGTTTCCATAGATTTTCAGGATCCGGCCAGCTGCCCGGAAGATTATTCAATGAGCAGAAAGAGGACATGTTACTCCTTCTCATAGTTCTTGAGCGGCCAATACAGCGATGACGCCCCTGCGCCAGTGGGTGCCTCGCCGCCGACCTGATTGTCTGTTCT